AATATATGATCGCTGTACGATACTTTTATACACAAATAAATGAAGATTGTTTATTATAAGGCTTATCAAGCAATAAGTCATATTAATGATTAATTTTTACAGGCTCAGAAAATTAAAAATCATCGATCGAGTACAAGACATGTAATATTTGGTTCAATTAGTAAATTAAAAACTTGTTTGTTTTTAAAATAAATTGAACTTGTGTATACGTACACCATGAAGTCACCATTTTAAAGTACGAACTTTACTCGTATAAGTTTAATTCCAAAGGGAGATCCTTAAAAAAAAACCACATTTTAGGTATACCTGTAAGTATAAATTTCGCAAATGTCAATTAATTAAATTAGCGTTCTCGTATCTCTCGAGTTGTGTGTAATGTATTAGAAATCGCATTGTTTTTTTCTCTTCTTTGTGACTTTCGCGCGCCAACACTATCGCGTTGTAAAACGAGGCTTGTTACACAATGCGTATACATTTATATACATGAGAGTTGTCGTCGAGGGGGAAAGACGACGCCAACTCGTTCCCTATCTCTTTTACTCTTTCACACGCAATACGTGTATACGCATGCACGAAGAGTAACGCATTGTAAAAACCGTACCTATTCGCATCGCGCGTATTTACATGTATTGTATACTACACTAGCACTTGTTTCACCCGTGCACAAGTTTCTTGACCTACACCAGTACACCACTACCTGTTCGTACACTCAAACCTTGGGATTAGATGTGAAGAAAACGCATCCTTTTTATTAGCCTACGCCATATTTAATTCAGTTTTTATTTTAACCTATGTAGCGAACCGTTGCATGCATCGGTATAATCATCGACGAATCAATTCTGAACAGCCAATATCGAGCCATTAAAATTCTCGATACGAGAAACGAACGAGCCCCCCTTTGAAGGAGCGCGACTTGAACTCGGTCGCCAACCACAAAAAAAAAAAAATAAAAATAAAAAATAAAAAAAAAAAAACAGCCGTGCTCGCACGCAAAAGGGAGCTCTTGCACTGTCTGCAGATAAAAGGGAGAGGGCATTTGGCGCGCGTGCAAGCTCCTCTCGGCGAGCGGAGGAAAATCCAGCCCTACATACACTCGCACGGGGAAGAAAACGTGAAAGGAAATTTTACGAGCCGGCCTATCCTGCTGGAGTAAAATCCATACATAGTACGGAGGTAGGTAATGTCTGTACGTAGAGCCTTAGAAAAACGTACGAGATTGGAAAACCGAACGAAAGCTCGTGCAAACGCACACACACACACAGAGAGTGAGAAAGTACGAGGAAGAAAAAAAGGACGACGTGCTAATATAGAGAAAAGAGTTTTTTTGCGCCAAAGTTATAAGGAAGTAAGAAGAAGAAGAAGCTGGGTACAGGTATGTGATGCAGTGGCGGGTGTACATGTGATACTGCACCTTATATATGTATACCTAGGTAGCAGCAAAAACAGTGCAATGCGGCAGAAAGTGCTAGTGTACACACCACAATATACACACGCATAGAGCCGCTGATGTACTTACACTTACAGCCGGGCGTGGCGGTAAAGTCAGATAACTGACCTCGCCTCTTCACGTAGTCACACACTCTATATACAACCAAGCACACCACCGCACTACCTTTTTCCTGTATGTCTTTTTTTTTTTTTTTTTTTTTTTTTGTCCCGTTGCTGATGCACGCTACCAACGCAGCACTGCAATTCCTCCAGTGCACCAAGATTACAGGTAACCCCTCTTTTATATAGGCAAGGCCTCTTTTGTCACGCATACATCCTCCTCTTTTTTGGTCTCTTGTTCTTCTCTCCCTCTCGCTGTCTCTATTATTTGCCCTTCCCCCTTGGAGAAATCTATATGCACCCGGTAATCTACCTCAATCGAGCTAATACGCTCGCGAGCATTTATTTATCGGACATTCTATTCTACCCCTCAACTATCTCTCGCTACTTTTACCACCTATTGTAATTGATCATCAATTAATTGGTCGAATGGATACAATTAAAAAAAAAATATATATATATATACACACACACACACACATATTTGTGCACCGTGGGGGTACCGTGCTCCTCTTGTTGTCTCGTGCGAATGTTTCATTTTTACCGGCTAAGGGTGTATATGTATATATACACGAAACGGAGTGTTACAATTGTCACGAGATAATTAAAAGAAGTGTTTTAATGCGTGGTTAATCATACACCGTGACAAACTGCAGGATTTTTTTTGCACACACATTGAAAATTTTTATTAACTTAAGTTTTCTTCCATATTTCGTAAATCTAATTTACAATTACGGGGGTTGGTGTGCAGAGCGCGAAGGGGGCATATGTGGTTATGAGAACTTAGAAATATCTATTGACTCATACAGGATAAACAGCTTATTTAAAAAAGAGAGCCACTAAAAGAAATAATAAAGCTCACCAATCAAAAGTAAAGGGCACATCTCTCTGTCTATATAAACTTTATCACTTTTATTTGAAATTAGCAGCTTGTTCTTCATTCTTCCTCAAAAGCAGACCAGTAATCATTCCCCAGCGTAAAAAATTCATTCCCGAGTATTTTTGTAAAATGCCATAGTCTTCCGAATTCTGTAGAATATACTTAAGCATATTATTTTTATACCAACAATTAATTCTATTATTTTTTAAGGCTTTAAAAAATATTGAAACAAACTTTACTTTGAAAAAATCACACTTATAACGCAATAAAAGGAGGGATGGAGTGCGGAGCGCGTAGGGAGGCGGAGCCCCACTAGTATATAAATATATAAAACCAAAATTGGCTCAAAGTAACAATTACCATGGGCTTCCTAACAGGAATCCACATGATCGAGGTGCACAAGTAGAGAGAGGTTAGACTATGAACAAACATAACCTCAATTTTTTTATTTTTTGACTTTATCTTGAAAAGGAAAGTCAAAAAAAATTTTTTACTTAGTATGTCATGTTTTGAAAATTGATACGGACTTTCCAAAAATCTTTGGAAAATTTTTTTATAACATAACCTTCCAAAATTAGAAAAACAGTCGTATTTCGAAAAGAAAGCCAGATAGCCCAAAAATAATTCCAAGTATAGAAAATGATTTTTAAAGTGCAAAAATATGTTACACGAATTTATACAAGAAATCGTAATAATTCTAAAAATAAAAAGTCATATCGCAACGGCATAGCTACAACCTTCATATACCACCTATAAATTGATTGTCTGTTCTCTATCATGTATTACAAGAAAAATTGTCACGTGACCAAAACCTACATTCTTTTTATTAGTTTTAAGATCAGTAAAAATTTGTTAAGTACGGGTGAATTTTGATATTTAACTATAATTATTATAGAAAACGAATGAAGTGAAAAATTACAATTTTACAATGGAAAATAGTTATAAGTTTATTGTTTCCCTTTATCTCAATAAGATAGAGTAGATTATTTTACTTTTATGGTAGCCAAATTGAAAATAATTTTATTTCTCAGATACAAAGATTCCAACAAGAATTCATTGTACACATATGATATCATATTAAATACAGAAATATCAATTTGAAATATAAGGAATGTTATAATGGGAAAAAAGTACCTTCTTTCAGCGAAGTATGGTGAAAATTTTTATTTTATGCTGCATTACATGACCAACAACGCAAATGTCGAATTGCGGCTGAAAAGAGAAAAGTTGTGGAGTTGCGGCTGAACGATAAGCTTCGTTTTCTAATGTATGTCGAATTGCAGCTGGGCCTTTTCTTACACACGGTCAAATTGCAGCTGAGTAACGTTCCCATTACTAATTGATATATAACGACATTTTTCCGTCAATTCGTAGATGTATTACATATATTATACCTAACATGGAAGTACTTAAGATGCACGAATCATAACATAAGTAGTATAGTAAGGTATATGTATTTTATGCCCACGCGTGCTTGAATACGTATTGATATTAAAATTTTCACTATTTTAATATGGATTCTTCAAGATCTATTGAAATTAGGTGTACTCTAACTTCCTCAGTTCTTATTATACTGAGTTTCATAACATTTGAGTTAGAAGTTTCGCTTTTGCCAGAGATCCCAAGACCCACGCTTGGTTTATTTTAAATTTTATTTTTTCCATACTCCAATTTGTACTTAAAAATGAAAAAAAATTCATAGAAGTAGCCTGTTAAACGGCTACAAACCAAAGAATTTTTGTGAAACCTAACCACTAAAATGACTTTTATTAACATTTTTCAACTTTAGATAGAATTTCTGCCTATATTGAAAACAAAAATTCCACTTTTGATTTAGTTCCATTTTTGACATGTTTGAGTAGCTTTCTTCAATGTATTTTTTGATACTATTTTTTATTTCGCTGTAAGTTTTTTAATTTGTATGGTGAATTACCTTACGGTGACCAATAACCTATTCTTAGATAAGTTACGGTTTTTCCTTGTTAATAATATAACAAGTCCTAATAGCTTTCAATACAATGTACTTAATCCCTCATGATTCCTGTCATGTTTAAGTATCGTCAATTTTAATTGAATTTGCATTTAAAAAAGTAGAGAGAATACTATGTATTAAACATGAGAATGAGACTAGCTAAAAATTTTTTCTATAAATTACCAAAACGCATAACTCTAAATTTCTTAAGGTAAAGGTTAATTGATTATTTATTAATAGAAAAATATTCTTAATTTTTATTAAAACTTAATGGCCTTCGAAACTATAAAACAAGCTTATTTATGTCAAGTGCAGTTAACCAACGTAGACTGTTGGCGCTATAAAATATTCGTAATACAAAACTAGCACCTAGCCCTAAAGCCATATCGCAGTTTTTATTGTTGATAAATATAACACTTGTGAAACAAATTCATAACTCAGCTGCTTACATGACATA